GGCCATTAAACGAGATGACCAACTGGAGAATAGCTGATTTACTGCAGGAAGCTGATAGTAATTGCCTAGGCAAAAGCCAAGAGCACTCAATAATTAAGCTGTCCCTGGAACTGCAGGAAGGACTGGGGATGCTGCCTACCTTCCCTTTGGGGTGATGGAGCTAGTGTAAATAGGAGAGCTTAAAAAGGGTGGTGGGGAGGAGGGATGGGCATGACTCATGGCATCACTTTGAATTTATCAAGTGTAGTTTTATGAATGTATGTTGTTTCATAGAGATGAGTAAGTGGGTAATGTATGTTTCCGAATCTTCTTAGCTAACAGAAAAAGAACTCCAAGGTCATCTTCTGTGGTAAGTTAAACCCAAAGTTCAAAATGTCCATATACCAGTAGAGCAGGAAGTGTAACTCTAAAGAAACAAAAATAATAATAAAATTATACACAAAGCTTGGGAAAAACACATGTAAAATAAGGCTAAAAGGTATTAAGGAGCAGTACTCATCTTGCTATATTTCTTAATGAAGCTTTCATGTGGATGGTGCAAAGCCTATTGCATGGTCATTTATTCATACAAAGTTCCACTTTCTCCAGTAAGCCAGTGGTCTGTGGTTTATGCCTGCCTGTGGAAACCAAGCGTTAGCTGTCAAAGGAGAGGCTGGGACCTGGAAAAGCCACTGCAGTAGTCTCCTATTGACTTAGCACTTGAAGATATGGAGGCTGCAACCAAACTGTAAAGGAGATGAACTCAAGAACAGGTGCTGGTGTGCAACTAAAAACAGAAATTAATGTAGGAGAGCTTAAGCAGCCTGGGATGAACAGTGAAAACGAGATGCTTGTGTGCCTCTGCAGGTTCTAGCTGTGCAGTCCTGCATTTACAGTTACGGACTGGGAGAAGGCGATCTGTGATTATTGTTTGTAGTGATCCCCAGGAGGCCAGGCGGCCTGCAGTTTGTGATATCAATGTTGAGGAATGTTGGTATATGGTATACCCCAGCGGAAAAGAGCGGTGAGAGGAGAAATCTGAGAGAAGCTGGGCTGAGGAGGTATGTACCTGCTGCAATTAGTACACCACCACTGGAAAGAGGGACGTAAGGCTTCAAAAATAAGTGAGACCTCCTGTTTGGATTATAACACAACCCTCCAAGAAGGAATTTTAGGGAGCTGAGACTTCTGAATTCTTACATATTAGTGTCAGTATACACCACAAAATGGGTTTTCAAAAATATTTTAGCTTCTGGTGGATTATGCTGAGAACCAAGAGGAAATGGGCCACGGGGAGAGTTTTTTCTGTAGTAGCGCTATGCCATTGACCTGTACCTCCTTTCTTCCCTGTCACCCCACTCTGGGGAGGGAAGGCAAAATAAAATGAAGTTGTATGTAGTCCGCTACAGGTTTGATGCCTTCAGCTTTTTTCTCTAACAACTCGTAATCTTTGTGTAATATGTGATTCTAAAAGTGGACAGAAGAGTTATTACACTGTTCTGTGCTGCAGATTCTGCTGCAGAAAATAACTAAGTGTGCATGTAGTCAGAGCTGTAAACTAAACACGAACGTGGAGATTTTTGTTTTGTGATCACCTGAAATAATTTCATGAAAAAGAAATCATATCTGTAAGATAGGATCCATATTCTGAAGACGCTTTTGAGTTGGAGTTCTGGTAAATTGTTGGGCTAGTCTTGTAGACAGATTTCCTACACTGAGGAATTAATGTTGGAGTTCTGCTATTCGTTTTATGAATCTTTAGAAGTAATGTGGTAAATCCGTCTTTATTGCTTTTTTGGTCTGTCTAGAGTTGCCAGGAAGGGTGTCGTAGTGGTGGTTTTGTCATGTGTGTTCAGTTGCTTTAGTAACTGGAAGAAAGGCACAAATTGATTTTTTTTTTTTTATGTGCACTACAAATTGTGGTTTGCTAATGAGTGCTGAATAGAATTGATATTAATTTACAGTGGAATCTTGCCAAGGTGCGATATGGTGGAAGCAGACTTTTAAAACTGGAGAACAGTTGCGTGATTTTGTGTTCAATTTCAATTTTATAATAAAGTTAGAGTTTTATCTCTTATTCTTTAAGAATGTCAGTCTGGTAGATGTAAGTAATCCTGTGAGGAGTTTTTAACTCATCTGAAGAAAACAGCAGTTATACAACTTGAGTTTTTAAGTTAATGATAGTTTCTGCTGTATTTTCAATAGAGGACAAAGGAAGTGCAAATAGTATCATTTTTTTAGGCTAGAAATTAGCTAGTAGTACTTTTGAAATAGAAGATCTGTATGAATTTAGAGGTTTTTTTCTGTGAAAAAATCATTTATTGACAAATAAGAGAAAGCTTCTGAATTTTGTCATTTGCCCTGGGGAAAAAAAAAATAAAATATCGGAGTGGTTCAACTTTAGTTAATTGTATGCTCATAGTGGAGCATTATGAGTATCCTCCTTTCATTTTGCTTAAAAGTTTTTTTTGAAACATAGATTCTCCTATAGGGGAAAAATGCTTTGAAAATTCACTTGGTTTTGTTCAAGGATTCTTAATCAATTTGTATCTTGTTTCAAAAACAAGTTTTCCCTGTTTCGTTTTCTTCGCATCTGCAGAGAACACAGCCTAAGCCTGCCCAGACAGGAAACTAGCCACCAATATTTGCTTTTTTTAGGCACAAGGCTTTTCTGGGCTTCCTAAACTGTCGATGCGAAGCTGACATGGTGGCCCGGAAATGCAGTCTGTTTTGGTGAGGGACCACCTGGCACAGCTTAGGCCAGTACTGGTAGATGACAAATTTCATATTCCTTTAAATGAAAACAATGTGTGACGCCCAGTTCTGCCAGCTTAGAGGTATGATTTAGAGAAGGGCTACCCTTGAGCTTGCCCCTAGCTACAGATGTGTTTGTAGCAAGATGTTGCTTCCATGTCAAGTGATCCCAAGAGCCAGCATGTGAACTACTGGGGAATGTTTGTTACAATTATAACATTGTCTTAAGAGTGCTCAAGTGTTTGGTTTTGCTGTTACTTAGAACTAGAACTTGGTTACTCAACTTGTCTGAGATATGTGATATTTAAATTGTGAGGAACATACCAAGGTTCAGATTACCGTAATAAATTTAGTAACTTTATTGAAGAACAAGCCTGTGCCTTTGAAGATTTAAACCATTGTTGTATACCTTAAGCACAGAGACTCTTTTACCTTTTGGAGGTAGAAAGAAAAACTAATCAAGTGCTTGATGTAAGGCTTAAACACATTTAGTGTCCTTGTAGCTGGATAGAATAAGTCTTGCATCTCAAACAAAAGTGCGTTTACTTTGTTATACACAAATGCGTTTAACTTCAGAATTTAATAGTTTATATTAAAAAACCCCAGCCACTAACATTTTGAATAGTCTGTCATCACTATGATTTTGCAATCTGTTCAGCCTTTTGCCAATACTGCTGAATTGAGATTGTTAGGTCTTGTCCCTGATGTCAGACTTAATGTGTCAGACTTGAGGTCGCACCAGAGGATTAGTTTGCTGTTGGGCATGGAAAAGGTTACTTGTTTTACAGATTGAGTTCAATGACTTAAAACTGTACTAGAAATTATTCTAGTATGATATCGAAGTCGTCATAATAGATTTTTTAAAAATTTTTCTCAAAGTGTTGAAGCACAATTTGACTAGTACTCTAATTAGTCATATAAAATGACAGCTGTAAATACAAGCATATATCTACATGTTTATACATCTCATCCCCCCCAAATAAATAAGTGCTTATCTGTATATCTGATTCCCCAAAACAAACACTTTAAAACGTGCTTAACCATATATCATATTTTACTGTGCTGTATCAATAGGTAGCTACAGATAGTTACCAATGTCTGCCTCACTGTGTGTGATATGACTGTATTTAAATGAACTTCAAGCAAGGAAATAGTGAAGGTAAACAATTTCAAGATATATTAAAAAGAAACATCCATATTATGCAGTGAAAGCTGGAACATTTTATAAAAAGCGTGAGGTGCTTAAACCTTCTGTCCCATGGTAATATTTTTGGATATGTGCTATTTCTGAGTTGTGTAGCAAAATGTAAGGAAGACTGAATTGATTCTTTCATGCTCCGGGAAAGACTGGCGTTGGCCTGATTTTTATCATAGTTAAATATTGGTTTATTGCCTTTTTTATATAAGTATGCAGATTTGTCTTTGGTCTTAAAAGGCTGGCTCTTAAGGTGAAATGACTATCCCGTAAAATAAGAGAAAGCAAAAAAAGGATGCAATAGCCTGCAGTAAGGCAGAGCCATAAAAGATGAAGCAGGCAAAATGCGAATAGGTGGCCAGCAGTACAGATTTTTATTTATTTTATGAAGTAAAAAACCCCTCAAAACCTCAAAATGTAAAATAGCCCACCACCTTCAAACTTAGTGCTACATGGATGTTGAGGATTTCAGTTTTGGACTAGCAAGTGTATTCATGTATCTGTTGCTGCACATATGACTTCATTTTGACTGTATAATGTGTAAGGATGAAAAGATGTCTGTTGTTAGACATTTAGACATGAATTTCTTTTTGTAGGAGAAAGGAGAAATGAGTAATGTCTCTAAAACCCTTTTAGTTGAATTTGCTTAAGCAAAATATGAAAAAATCAAGTTGGATAGTAGAGCTGCTGAGAAAGATCCTTGATCTTGACCATGAAAGGCAATGTCGAAGAAGGAAGTGTAAACCTAGCGCTATCTCAACTTTGTGCAAGCTGTGAAGGAGAATCTTATTCTTTAGTGGTCTTGTAAAAGTTACTCTTGATGCTCATTTGCTATTTACCACTTGTATCTTTGCTCTTAGAGTATTAGATATCCTAGGTGTGCGCTTCAAAGAAGTAAGAAAGACCTACATAAAAATTCAGTGGTAGCGGGGGGAAGCAGGCATGCTTCACTTGCTCTTCTGTAGAAACTTCTTTAAGCTACTAATTGAAACTGCTGAAAATGTCGTGGGTAGGCACAGAAGAGTTTTGGAATTTGTAATGAGGAACTTAACTTCTGTGCTTTTTGTTCTGCAGTGTGATGTTCAGGATCAGAAATGCCTTATGTGGATCGTCAGAATCGCATCTGTGGTTTCCTAGATATTGAAGAAAATGAGAATAGTGGGAAATTTCTGCGGCGGTACTTCATTCTGGACACTCGAGAAGACAGTCTGGTGTGGTACATGGATAACCCACAGGTGAGATGTTCTGAGCAATAGTTTCCTGGCTTCTGTCAGTTCCCACTTTTTCAGATTTTTTTAACAAATTTACTTAAGAAAAATTGGGTTTAATATTAGCTTATGGGCATGGAAGCTAGGGGAAAAAAATTAGTTACACAAGTGAAATAATTATAAATCAGTGTTTCTTCTTTACTGGTGTGTGCAGTCTTTTAAAGAAAAAATATAGTTCATATTTGTATTTAAAACATTGCCAACTGCACTTAACGGTAAAACCTTACAGACAACTTCAATATCCGCACATTGCCAACATATGGAATCTAAGTATTGGCAAGAGGTTTAGGAATCAGATGGGAACCTGAATTTGATCCCACATATAAATGGGTCATTAATTTTGAATCACGATGTGCTACATTTTCTGTTAAGTGTCTCAAGTGTGATTACAGGATCTCACAGGCATGAGGTAGTGCAGTATAATATAATCAGATGAGCCAAATCACAAGTTTCACTACGCAGGTCTTTGAATTCACCTCTAACCTTTTGTGGAAGTATGCAATTTTCCTTGCATTGCATGGGTCAGCTGTTTCATATTACTTTACCTCAACAGAATCAGTCATTGAAAAGCAATTTCTAACAATGCTTGCAATTTCAATACAGTGTGAGTAGTGTGTGAATGAGGAAAGCTTGTATCTGTCCTGATGGACAGCATCCTTTATATGAAAGCTGCTTTCACAACGTACACGCGTCAGTGCGTTTTCTAGCATAGGAGAGAACAGATAATTGCTTAGGGTCTGAGTACAGAGATGGTGAAAGCGTAGGAACAGGGTCAGCTGACAGCTGTCTGCCAGAAGAATATTGTGAACCATTCTGCCAGGAAATGCAGAGTTAAAATGTGGTAGAAGTCTACTGTTCAAAGGAACCAACAGAAACACATTGAAACGGTGTGCAGCTCGATGAATGTGACTCGTGACCGAAGCATTTAACAGTTATTACTGCAGAGAAAAAAGAAAGAATTTCTGGAAAGAAGAGAGACTTCAAATGTCTGAAGTCAATGAAGGACATGAAGCAATTCTTTTTTTTCCGTTTTCCTGTGATATAACCAGGACATATGGGCAACAGCTTGAAATGCCATAGAAATGGCAATTCTGCAGAAGTTTTAAGACTGATGATGTTTGCAGTGCACACCTCTTGAGAGTTTTTAGTTTTTGCTTTCTTATATATTTTTTTAATATTACCACAAATGAAAGGGTGCCTTGCAAGAGGCAAGTTGAAGCTGCTTGATTTTCTTCCACTGCTTTGGTTTTGAAGAACAACTGAGTTTTTATAGATCCACTGTGTGGAGACCGTTTTTAATCCTTCAAGTGATGAAACTCTGCATACAGGATGAGCCTATGGTATGTGCAGAACTTCACCGGGCCCTTGGCTGGTAGGTGCTCTGTTTGTATCTGTGAAAATCAGTTCAGCTCTTCAAAGAAATATTGGTTTTAAGTCTACCATCAACCACGCATTATTACCCTAATATGAAGATTATAAAACTGATGTATGCTGGGATCAAAATCATGCTGACAAAGTAAAACTTAAATTTATTTGGGCAGAATGGGAAGACTTTTAAATTCAATTTTAGTGATACCAGTCTAAGAAGCAGGTTTGGTTTACTATACCTTTGAAATACAAATGGAATATAAATGAATTATTTGTCTGTCTTGCTGACCCTGGGTAGCATTAGGCTCCTCTTTGCTGTGTAGAAGTCGTAAGGCACTATTGAGTAATGTAGTTTCCCCCCTTTAGCTGGGGAAAGGATTAGCAAGCAGATGCAATACCATGCTTATGGTCTCCAGGGAGGCCTGTAATGGGAAGAATGATCTGTAACGTAAAGGACCATTTTGAAAGTAAAAATTGTGATGGAAAAAAGTATATGGAAAACAATGCTCTATTTAAAGGAAAAAAATTAGGACGACTTTCATCAGAAATGGTTAATAAAAAAGTTAGCTTTTTTTTGTGATGCTCAGTTCTTTAACTGTTGTGTTTCTAGGCTACAAGCTGATAGTGAATAGTTATGGAAATGTTAAGACTCGTGTGCCAGGCGAGGATGTGAAAGCAGTGGGCGGCTCCTTTTTAAGTTGTAAATATACTTAGGCTTAACTACAACTTTAGGAAGTATCATAGTCTTTCCCTGCGATAACTTTAATATTAAATGATAAGGCTGTGATTTTTCAATCCGCTTTGGCAAATATGTGAGACGGCCTTTGAAGTATCTGACATAATAGATGAATGTCAGTTCTGTCCCTTCCGCCTGCCCTGGTCAAAATACATAAGAGGTCAACATCTGTTAAGGAAAAAGTATTCTTTCCGGGTTTCCTGGATGCAGACCTGCAAGAATCCTTTTTCCTCTAGTAAAATACATAAACTTCTGAAACAATTACTGTTTGTATTGTTTCTAGCAGTCTTTCTGTTTTTAGTTGATTAACAGATGTGTGTATGATAAACAAGTAGTGTAGATCCTGTTTCAAGCATACGTTGTGTATTGTGTATAAAAACATGTAGGATTTTCTTTTTGTTTGTGGAATTGTGTTATTTGCTTTTTACGTGTAAACACTGACTGTGATATGAGAATAAACTAGTTTCACTTTGTAATATGTGATTTGTTTCAGAATCTTCCCTCTGGATCTCCACCTGTTGGAGTCATTAAACTTACCTACATTTCAAAGGTAAGGTGATGTGCAAGACACTTGTTGCTAAATTTTTGGTGATAACTACCAAGGGCTGCTTCTGAAGGCTCCAGCTTTAGACAATTTAAAATGTCTCTTACGTAGCGCTGGGGTAGCTTTTTGCTTGTGTGCTGCTCCTGAATTTTAGAGAAGTGTTACAAACGCTTCAATAGTATCAGGTTAAGATAAGAACAGACTAATTACCATATTGTCTAGGTTTTTGAGATTTCAAATGGCAGCTCTTTGTGCTGCGTGGAATTAGTATTTCTGAACTGTATTTTTCAGTTCTGTATGAGTGTTTGAATTCCAGTTACTCTTGTAGAAAAGACAGGCTGTTTATGAAGTGGAAGGTAAGCCTTTGGGTGTGATAGTTTGCAAGTAACAGTGATCTTTAATGGATAGAACAGAAGAAAATCTAGAAAATACCTCCTTTATTACTCTCTGCATACACTTCCAAATATGTCTGAAAGAAAATTGTGAACTAAGAAAGTATCTGTGGTTAAGCACAGATACCGTGTTAACAAAGAAGTAGAGAAAAAGAATTGACTTTCTCTTGTCTTTCTGCTCATTTCTCATCCTTCCTTTGCTTTTCTTGTTGTCATACTGTACCTGCCCACCTTCCTTGTTTTGTTTTTTTCCTTCTTGTAAAAGATACCATTGATGCTTGTTATATCACGAGTACAGAAATATCTATGGAGACCTGCTTATGTCCTTGCTGCTTTCCTCCTTCTGTGCTTACTTTGCCTAAAACCTCACAGTTGTCATCTTAAGAAATGTAAAATCTTGCATCTCCCTGTTAGTGGGAGCAGGGGTGGTCACCTGTGCCTTTGCAGCCATGTGCACCTTTGAAGGCAGCTCAAGGGTGCCTCCTGGGTGGATGCTCTGTCTAACTTTCCATAGTTCTTCTAGTTATGCAGTATGTGCTTTTTGTTTATGGGCAAAAAAAGGGGTTTTGATGTGAGAGACTGCTTTGCTCTTTCCCCCACCCTTTGCAGAAGCACTCTATAATGTAAAAATGGCAATGCCTCTCTCAGATCAGGACACCCGCTTCTCTCTTCCCCCAGCACTGCAACATTTTAGAGGCTCCTCTAAAAGCTAGCTATTATTCTGTTTATCTTAATGAACCAACATACAGCCGATGTCCTTGAAAGTATGAAATGTGCTTGAATTTTTACTTGTCTGTTTATCTTAATGAACCAACATACAGCTGATGTCCTTGACAGTATGAAATGTGCTTGAATTTTACTTAAGTTGAGACGTAGAACTTCAAAATGCTAGTAGAAGTGTTATCTTTGCAGATTTCAGTCTTTATCTGGTAACGAATCCTTAAACTTAAGGAATAGGAACATGTGACTTAAGCTGTCATCTTACCATAGGTTGCACATCTTGAACTGAATTTTATACTGTATTTTTTGTTATATCTGTGTATCTTTATAGCTAACAAGCTTGCTGTGCTGCTAATCTTCAGATTTGGTCACTTGAAAGAGAAAATAAAGTTGTGATATCCAATGTATATTTTGCATACAGACTGATATTTATAATCTTAATTTCCATACTAGGTTAGCGATGCAACTAAGCTAAGGCCAAAGGCAGAATTCTGTTTTGGTAAGTTCTTGCATGCGGCATGTGCATCAAGTACATCCTTCACAAATATGAAGCAAAGATAATGTTCTGCAGTTCAGTTACTAGATACTGGCAGTGTATTTTTTAAAAACAGCTTGTATTCACTGTTTCATCTTTAGTGTGAGGGAAATGTTGGCTTCTTCATACGGTGTTTTTGTGGCTTTTCGTATTGCAGCTTAATGAGGAGTAGGTGAGAGCTGTTTTTCAAATGTTTGAAATTTGGGGGGCGTTAATAAGATAATCAAAAATGATGGGTGTTTTCAGAAATGTGGCATGCCTGTCAGCTATGAAGACAAGTAATTTAACTATTTTAATGTGTTACTGACAAAAGTGTTGATTTAATTGATCTAAAAACACTGTCAGCTAATGCTCTTATGTTAAATTTTAGCCTCTGTTGCTGCACCGAATAAAACCAATTTGCTTTGGGTACCTTCTAGGTTTACTGATACTTAAACTTGTTTGAACTTGAGTAAAGCTTTCAATAATCATAAAAGCTCCGTATGGTCTTTTTTAGATTTTTCTTGTAAGTAATTTGTCCAGAATTTACCCTAATTCCAGCTTTTTTGACAAGCAATTGGCATTCACAAAAGTGTGTGTAGCGACTGGAATCAGCCTCTGTTCTGTTTATGAATAACCATTCTTTATGACTGCATTCACGTCAGAGTTTTAGCTTAGAGGAAGGTACTGAAAACGCCTGGAGGTTTTATGACGATTAGTTAAGTTGTGCTTTGCCACGTGCAGTGTTCTACAGGCCCAGAGAAGGCTGTTCCGCCGGACTTGTGCGGTCTCTGCATTGGAGCTCATGAAACACTTAATAAATTACCCCTGTGTGTGAGGCTTCAGGGATTCTAGACTGGTACTTAGCGTGTCAGTTCAGTGCCATCTACAGATCCCTCCGCGCATGCACGGGTGGAGGTGTTTGTCTTCATTAGCTGTAAAGTTGCTCTTGTCAGTGGCCTGGCTCTAAAAAGCCTTAATGATCCAAGATGCTGGCTCAAAGCTTTTAATATTTCTCATTTATTAAAGTGTTTTTGATACTTTTTAGGGGAATGGTTTACATTTATTGTCTTTTTATTTAAACACTGGGAGCTGTTGCTTCAGTCAACTCGTTATACAGTTCTGTATTTTGAATTTATGTTTGCATCTAATAATGTTTGCTTCAAACTATCCATTTTGGGGAGAACAATGATAGAAGAGTAGAAGAGCATCTCTTTCTGGTACTGTTAGTGATGACCTGAAGAATTGTTACGTTATAGGTAGAGAAGTGAAATCTGTTCAGACCTTAGCTGCAATGCTTAAATGTTCAGGGAAGTTTTTAGTCGCTGTTCACTTTAAAACCAATTTCAAGATAAGTTCTTAGAATTTGTGAGAAAACTAGCAGTGGATTTCCCCCCCCCCCCCCCCCTTGACCACAAACGAAACATGTTTGTGTTTTTTGGATAAAGGTATGCAAAGTGTTGCCAGGTGGATATGTAAATACACTAAAAATATGCTTTCTCTGCCAAATCACTAAAGTAAGATGAAGTTTTATGTTCTGGCTATTTAGCCAGATAAAACCTGGTTATCTGCTGTTTAACTAAAAAAAATCTGTTTTAAAGCTGTTTGGTCCTGAGCATCATATACTGAGTCATCAATGCTGATTTTTCCACAAGTTAAAATAAAAAACAGAAATCAAAGTCATGTTAATGAGTTTGTTGCAAAGGACAACAGATACTGGTCAGAGGATTAAAAGAAGAAATTGTAGAAGTTCCCAAGTATAAAACTTTATTGGCTAGGGAAATTGAGAAAAGGGAAATGGAGCTGTAGAAAATTCTGAAAGTTCAAGGCTTTATTTATATGAAAATATTTAGAAATTAGGAATAATTTAACAAATTCTGTATGATGCTATTTAAGTGGAGAGCTTGAAAAAAGAAGAAAAAAAAAAAGAAAAACTAGGTTTTTTTAGAATAAAGCAAGCCTGTCAAGTGGCTGTATGTATCTTAAGACAACTTTCTAAAAAGAAGTGCAGCAGAGACCTTAAATATTCAGCTGGCTTTTCCATCTGAAATCAAATCTTTTTATGATGTTTTTAAGTTTGCTGTTAAACTTCAGTGTTGTTAACTTTTCATAATGGTTTTTAACAGTTATGAATGCAGGGATGAGAAAATACTTTCTACAAGCCAATGATCAGCAGGACCTAGTTGAATGGGTGAACGTTCTGAACAAAGCTACCAAAATCACAGTAAGTGGTTTAGTTGAGATTTAGCAATGCTTTCAAATGGTGACTGTCTCGAGGGGCTTAAATGTAACCTTTGCCTCCAGTTTTTATGCTAGAGTAGTCTTTATCTCTACAGACAAGTCTTGGCTTGGCTTTCCAAGACTTGGGGGATTTCTGTACAGTTTCTCCTAAACTTGAATTTATTTTACTTTTTTGCATTGGAAGTTGGACAGAAATGTGATTATCGTTTTCATTACAGCATATGATGGTTTCTAGTAATGTAAAATTAATTATACACATTTAACACTAATTGATATATCCAGAAGACACTTGCAAGCAAGGAAAGATACAAACTTTTGACACCAGGTAAATGTATGTGTATTTCTTAAAGTATCACTAAAATAGTGAGCAAACACATTATGCCAT